GAGGAAACGCAGATAGGAATAAGGCATCAATTCTGCTGTAGTCCTGCAGTTCTGTTCTGTTCAGTGTGTGTGGAGCAATGAGTAGGTCAAGTACAGAGATCAGTGCACTATAGAGAAAATTGTGACTAAGCCCCAAGAGAGGCACTGTATAAGGTATGTGTGCATTTAAAGGGACTTGCAGGGTCAATGGTATTTTTAGAAAATATCTATTTTGCTGTAAAAGTAGAACATTTTTATTGTAAAATACACTGGGATAAATAAGAGCAAGCAGAAGTAACTCACTTGCCATCCCACCACTTAGAAATATTCAAAGTAAGCTGGGTGTGGTGATGCATGCCCTATAATCCCAGCACTCAGGAGGCTGAGGCCAGAGGATCATTGCAAGTTCGAGAACAGCCTGGGCTACAAAGTGAGTCCAAAGCCAGCCTGAACTGCATAATGAGACCCTGTCTCAAAAAGATTAAAAAGAAAGAGAGAAAGAAAGAAAGAAAGAAAGAACAGAAAAGTAAAAGAAATACTTAGAGTGAATATTTGGATGAATGCATTACTTTGATTCTGTTGTTACAGAAGTGAAACTCTAGGTAACATTTATAGCCTGCTTTTGCTGTATGACATGACATTTTCCAAATGTTACTGGTTTTTAATGTGCTATTTTATGAGGAAGTATTCCATTGTATAAAATGGAGCACCGAGTTCCCCAAGCAAACCTGTGCCAGGCCTTATAGGTTGTGTTGAGAAAAGATTATTATTTATTAATTCATGTAGACTAATTTTTAGACACCTGCAGCCCTGAAATAAGGCATGGAGTGAGATTTTGACTTTGCCGGGTTTATAGAATGGAAAAAGAGTCAGACATTGATCATAAAACAACTGTAAAATTTCCTGTAGGGCAAGTCTAATGAGAGGGGAGTGGGTGGGCCTGTGAAAGTGTGTTTTTTCAAATGGAGAGAAGTTGTCCCAGAAGTGTGAGAAGCCCTTCTGAGGTCAGGAGTGATGAATTTCAGCTCTACGGGAGTTGGGAGTGAACTAAGTGAAGAAGACCCAAAAGAACCTTGCCAGCAAAGAGAATGGTGTGTGCAAGGTCCCTGAAATTGAGGGGAGCAAGGTGAACACAACTGGAATAAGGTTAAGGGGAACTGAGTGGACTGACTTGACCTGAGGTGAGTTTGAAGAAGCAGGTGAGACCCGAGCCTGTAGAACCTTTTAGAGGAGATTAAAACTTTTTAGTATTTCTCTTAGAGCCATGGGAAACTGCTGGGGAGCTTTAAGCTGGAGGTGGTAAAGACCAAAAGACTTTGTTTTTTTCAGAACTCCCTCACTGCCATAGAGTGAAAGGATCCAAAGGAGCAGAGAAGGTGTTGGTAATCCAGGTCTAGGTGGCCAGCGTCCCAGAGAGTGTGAGGCCGATTTCAACAGTCCAGGAGGATGAAATGGAAATTTGGACGGGATGGTGAAGGGAATGGAGAGCCGTGGATGGGTTTGAGATATTTAGAGAATAAAATGGTTAGGAATTGGCACGGATGGTGGGGGAATATTATGAGTGGAGAGTGACTCCCCAGTCTCTGCATTAGAGGAGGGAGAGTTATCAAGATAAAGATCTTGAAGGCTGGGAAGGGACAGTGAGAAGTTTTGCTCTGGGGACAAAGCTGACAGGCTGGTTCCAGGAGTGGTGTGCATCATCTCATCCCTTCTTTTCTCAGCGGGGTTTAAGCACATTCACACACCACACTAAGGGGCCTCTTTCTGGAAATGGGGAGAGCAAGGGTGAGTCTCAATTTGGTGCTCCGGTGTCTGCTTCTGGCCCCTGCCTTACACTTGCTGTGTACAAGACACTGGGCAGATCATTTTAGGGGACTTTAGTTTCCTCATCTTTAAAATGAGAGTAGAAATATTTAGTGTGAAGGGGTATTGTGAGCATTAAATGAGAACACTGATACTTACGGACTTGGTAAACTTCACAAGTCCTTCAAGCTCAATATACGATTGTTAATTGTATTTCTGTATTTGTTGTTATTATTACCCTCAAATCTTCAAGTATTAATATCAGGAATATGAAAATCAATATTTGCTCCTTAAGTTCTTTAGGGGGAAAAGGGTAAGACTGACGTCTAAACAAATATACCACCCAGGAGCTAGAGATGGTGGCTCCAAACTATTTATAAGCATGTGTGTTTACTTGAATTCAGACATTCCCGACATGTAAATTATGCAGAGTCTGTGTCACAGCAGAGCACTCTGTGTTCCTAAAAAGAAGTCTCCTTTTTCCCGGAACCCTTTACCTTTTAAAATAAATCTCATTATGGAGTGCTGACATTTTCAGTGCAACATTCAACCAAAAGCTGCAGTTCTTTAAAGACTAAAAACAAGTCTGGTCTATTAGGCAGCAGCTCATAATGTACTGCTAAGTAGATACGATCTATTTAGAGAAGTTTATGTAGATATCAGATAAGACATTTCAGAGTCCCCATCTCTTCCTAAGACTGGGAATGTTAAGCAGACTATCAAGAATTCGTTCTTTCTCTCCGTAGAGTAGGAGTTGAATATCACTGTGTGATAGAGTGGGTGGAAACCGTAGAACAAAGATTTAAATCAGACCTCCTGGATTCTAGGGTGTTTCTTTCCACTGTACACTAGCTATAGGATGGTTTCCTAGCAGAGTGACTTTGGATGTAATGTTTTTCAAAGGGTTATGAGTAGTTGTGGAGCTGATATCAAAAAGTCAATGGCTGACATATATAGGGCTCTATCAAAGATCTAATTTTTCATTTTTCTCCTGCTTTTTGTACTCTTTTTCTTCTTGTGTGTGTATGTGTGTGTGTGTGTATGTGTGTGTGTGTGTTCTGCTCATGCTTCCTCCAACTTTTCTCCCTAAGTTCACCTTGTTTGTCTCTCTTTAGACTACTGTATTTGTTAACATTTTGTTACTGTGATGAAAATATTTAACATATACAATTTAAAAGAGGAAGGACTTATTAGCCTCTCAGTTTCAGACATTTCAGTCCATAGTTAGCTGGCACCAAGGTAGGAAAGCCATGGAAGAAAGGTGTGGTGGTCAAAGCGGCCCACGTCAAGCTAGGAAGCAGAGCACAAAGGTAGAACTCTGGGGAGAGAGGTAGCTTCCAAAGACATGATGTCAACAGCCCATATGTGTCAGGGCCCCCCCTCACACCACATTCAGCTGTGAGCCTCCACTGGTGGTTACAGCACCTCCATGCTGAGTGAATCACTGCCCAAAGGGTCTCTTAGTCCAGTCAAGTTGACAGTCAAGTATAACTAGAACCCCTACACCAGAGAGAGGAGTACACCTGAGTTACCCAAAGCCATTGAGTGACCTAAACTCCTACTAGTAATAACAATGGCTAATTTTAGAGCCTCAAGAATCATTTCCCTTTGTTTCCCCATGAGGTAAATACTAGCATTGTCTCCATTCCACAGATTAATAATCTGGACCCAGAAAGCAAAAGTCTAGCCTAGTAGAGTTAGTAACAAAGTAGGAAGTTCCAACCTACTCAGTCACAATCCTTCCCTCCCAGATCCTCCAAAGTGATTAGAACTGGGATTTATTTATTCATTCAGCTGATAATCATTTTAGTACATATTGTTGAACGGGAACTGGATAGAAGGAATAGACTTCCTGATGTGATTTTTTCCCTCATGGAACTGACACTTGTGCACACACACTCTTACAGTGTAGACACTCGGTCCATATTTAAGAGGGTGGCCGACTCTCAGTGCTGAGGTTTCTACTTTAGTTGGCCAGAGTTTTCCTTCCTACAGACAGTGATAGCTGTATGGCACAAAGGAGGAAGGATCTACTTACTGCCAGGATTATGAGGGGCCTACAGAGGAGGATGAGAAATCTTTTTCAAATGAGGCATTTGAACCACAGCTGAAACACTGGGTCTTCTCAGCCTACTGCAAGGTGACCCAGGGCAGGAGCCAAACCACAGGCAGGCTTGCAGTTTGTGCTAAGGACCTCGAATTTGATCTCAATTCAAGGCAGTACTATGGAGTAGAGTGAACAAGGGAGCAATATCCTTCAGCTTCTATTTTAAGAAGTACCTGGTGGTTTACTGCATGGAGAGTGCTTGGAAGCGGGTGCCCGCATAATTTACACATTAGATGGATTTGGTTTGGAGAGAACTCAGACATGAATTGCTCAAAAATTAACCTTTTCAATTTTTTTTTTTAGTAAAAATCATGTACCGAAATGGTTCTAATAAGCATAAATTGCTGTATTCTAAAGGCTGTAGTAAAAAGCAAAAATACTGTGCATCTGGAAATTATAGAATAGGCTCAGCTACTTTTAATCAAAGCTATTGTTCCCATTCCTTTATGTTTTCAGTGAGGAATCCTTAACTCTAAGTCAAAACTGTCTGTGTGTGTCCTGAAAGGCTCTCACTCCTGATCAGCCAGTCAACCAGTAAACACTTCTCTGACGTCTATTCTGTCTCTGGATTGAAAGATCCCACTCGACTTGTTTACTTCTCTTTCTACCAGGAGGTTATGGCAGGCTTAGAAGCACACAGTGTTGCCTGTGTTTAAGCCTCCTTTTAACTCACAGTTAGCAATGCAGCCTTTGGAGATTAGCATAAGGTAGGGTGTGGTGAGTACATTATATAGTACAGTACAGATCGAGTTAGAACAGTTATTTTTGATATCCTTGGAAGAAGATGGAATCCATGAAGGTCTTTGAGTAGCAGGAGGATGTAGAGAAGAGGGAGGTAGTTCAAGGTCAGGGTGCTGAAATTTGGTGTTACCGCAAACCTGGGATTCCTCTAGCAGATTTCATCATGGGTAGTTGTCTCTGAGTTCTGAGCTGGCAAAAGATTTCCTTGACATTTTGCACATTCCCTCTCTCTTAGTCATGGGGACAGCCTGAGGGATGGGTAACTTTAGGATCTCTTAGTTCTTCCTTCTGGGTTTATTGGATCTCAGTGCTTATCTTTAATTTGAAAAGTCTATGCCATCAGCTTTATCTTCCTTAATGACTCTTACAGGATAGACCACTGGAACAACGAGAAGGAGAGGATTTTGCTGGTCACAGACAAGACTCTGTTCATCTGCAAGTATGATTTCATCATGCTCTGCTGTGTGCAGCTACAGCAGATTCCCCTGAGTGCTGTCCACCGCATCTGCCTGGGCAAGTTTGCCTTCCCTAAGATGTCACTGGACAAGTGAGTACTGTCTTAGCATGGAGAAGTGGCAGCAGGGGTGTGGCAGGCTGGAAGTCAATAGCAACATCGGTTCAGTGTGGTAAGCTGGGAGGATGCAGAGGAATAGGGGAGTCCTACGGCTGAAATGATCAAACTATTGATTTTCTACTCTGTGTCAGGCACCAAAGATACTCTAAGTGAACTGGTGCTTTAATACGTGTAACTGATAATAGATGCCAGGTGGGGACAGCCGTGAGGACAAGCAGAAAAGCTCTTGACACAAGTCACATGGCACATAGCTGGAGAAATTTTCCTAGAGTACTACTTGAGCCAATATTTGTTGCTGGTAGGAGGTAGCATGGAAGAAAAACAAATCAAGCCATGTTGTAAGCAAAAGGAACACTACATCAAAAGAGTAGAGGTGGACAGCATGTAATCCCTTTGGGATTTCCAATTATTCTGCATAGCCCTGTGGATAGAGCTCCGGGTGGCTAGCTAGTTGCTATGTGAGTCTTTTTGGAATCTTCCCTGGAGACTGAGTGGGAGAGAAGGTTCAGGGTCTCAGAGAAGAAGATGGTTAACTAAGAACTGGGTGGAGCTCATAGAGGAGGACTGTTGAGCTATGATGGCCTTGGAAAGGACTGAATTTCCTAACTATTTTAGATCTAAGCCATAAGGATAACCACGCTCCTCTAACACTAGACTTGAGCTCTTTTCAATCAACTCCAAGCTTCTTGAAGACAGGTACCATATTGGTTTTCCTTTAAGTACCTGACATTGGGCCTGGTTCAGAGTAAGTTTTGAGAAATGTTTTTAAAACACAGAAAAAAAAAAAAGCACAGCGTAATGAAGTAATTAATTTTCCTTATGCAAAGATTACCACAATAAAGACTTACTTTTTTATTTACTGTTTCGTGGAGACAACAAATGATTAGCTCTTATATTTTACTTCTAAACCTGGTAAATTCTTTTCAATAATGCCTTCACATGGTAGAAACATATTTACACATAGTAAAAGTTCATTATTTATTTTTAAGATCTCTCTTTTCTGCTTCAGATCCTCAGTTTAGTATTCTGTCCTCAGGGGATAGCAGTTTCTTGTTCATATTTGAAAAAATGGGCTATAAATTGTAAAGAATTAAAATATCTTCTGTATATATACACTGCTTGGATTTTTGTGTATTCTTAAAAATATGTATTTATACACTCACACTTATTGTATATTGTGTACCCAAAGGGAGCATATGTAATAACATATCTCTTGCAGTATATCCAGAGACATATTACATAATCATACTCTTTAATAGTGCAGAATATTTTAAATCTAACCTATTTATCCCAATAATTTTTTTTTTTCATGGTACCAGGGATCAAACTCATGACCCTTCCTTTGCCAGGCAGGCACTCACACTACTGAACTAAATCTCCAGCTTTTATCCCAGCAAGTTTCGATGGATATTTATTTTTAACTTTACCCCATCTGTCAATGCTGAAATAAATATTTTTGCCTAAGAATTTTGCTCAAATATGCAATTTGTATTGGTAAAAGTTTTAGAAGTGGAATTATTAGGTCAAAGTCACGTAATTGTTAATGCATAGAGGTTGCTGAATCACCTTCCAGATCCGTGATCAAGTGTGTATTCCCAGGAAGGAGGGGGCATGTTTGGCAAGTACTACACCCCGTATTGTGTAGAGAAGGACTTTCCTACTTTGAGGTTAAAGAAAAGTCATTGGGGTTTTTTGTTTTGTTTTGTTTTTGTTTGTTTGTTTTAATTTGCATCACTAGAAATTTAAGGTTTTTGAATACTTTTTATAAATTTAGAAAGTAACATCTTTTTATTTATTTTTTAATAAAATATCTTTTTTTTCATAGCCCATATGTTTTTCTAACTGGGATTCTCAACTTTTTTCTTATTGATTTGTAAAAACTATTTATATATCAAAGAACTCTTCCTCTTTTATGCTATATATGAAGCAAACATTTTTCTTTACCATTTGTCACATCTTATATCTTTATAATGCTATTTTTATGGGTTTTAATTTTTAAGTATAAAATATTTTGGTATTTCAAGCCTTCTAAATTTATAACACTGAGAAATGATTTCTCTGCATTGTAATTATAAAATAACTTTTCAAAATTTTGCCTGATCTTATAATTTTATTTTTAAATATAGTTAAATTTATACTTCATTGCACATGTGCTTATGTAAAAAATATGCAATCAGGTTTTATTTTATATAGATGGTATTCTAGGATTTTCAACATGATTTATTCCATATTCCATTTTCCCATGTATTATTCATTTTTGTATCTTTCTAAGGTCTTTATTTCATCTTTTATCTACTTTTTAATGGCCCAAAAGGCTTTAATTATTCTATCCATATATTATGGTTTGATATCTGACAGTCATTTCTCATTTATTAATCTTCTAATTTAAATGCTTGTATATATTTATTTTTTCATCAGCTTGCCTATTTTTAAAAAAATCTTGTTGGGACCAGATAGGATACTTAATTCAGTAATAGAGTATTTATTTAGCATATGTTAGGCCCTTAGTTTTATTTCCAGCAACAAAAAACAAATCTCATTTCTTTAAAGAATTTCCAAATGTAAAATTAGCCTTTAATTTCTAAGATAAACCTATTTCATCATGAGGTTTTATCTTTCTTATACATTGTTGTTGTATCTTTCAAGGAATTTGGTAAGTTTATTTAACTTGTTGAAGATATAGTTTATTAATAGTTTTCCCTTATGGTCTCCTTAATGCTGTTAAGACATTTAGTAATGTTTTAAGACATTTGGTAATAGCTTCTTCATTTCCTAGAAAAGGTAATCTGTGTATCTGTGACTCCTGTCTCTATTTCTGTCTCTGTCTCTTTGTGTGTCTCTATCTCTGTCTGTGTCTCTCCAGTTTTGTCGAGAACGTTTTTTCCTTTGGCTAACTTTTAATGTTGTCTGATTTTTATTTAGTTGATTTATGCTTTTTATTATATTTTCTTCTTCTACTTACTTTGGGCTTTTTTCTTTTCTTTTTTTAACTGTTTAAGGTTGAAGTCAAGGTTGTTAATTATAGATATTTCGTATTTACTGATACAAGCATATGGAGTTAATATCCTTGTGTACACTGCTTTTACTGCAGCACATGGATTCGATATTATGGTATCATTCAGCGATTATTTTCTAAGTTTTCTTGATTTCTGTCCTCTATAAATACTTTTAGAATTTGTAGTTGGTCATTTTCCCAAATTTTCTAAACATCTTTACATTGTTCTATTTTTTGAATATAAAATTGCTCAATTTTATTTAGATGACATACTGCCTTTAATTTCAGTCCTTATAAAAATATAGAGATTTGCTTTGTGGGCTGAAGAACGATATATCTTTGTGAATAAACTATGTGCCCTTGAAAGAATTTGAGTTGTAGTTTTCTATACACACGAATAATTTGGTAATGTTATATTGTTGTCTTTACTGGTCTTTATGTGGCTTTGCAATAGTTACCAGACAGGTGCTGAAAATCTCTAGTCAAGGAATTTTCTAGGTCTCTCTCTACCTTTGTTACTTTGTGCTGTCTGTTTTGACAGCCTGCATCATTTGCATCTGCATGATAATCAGTGTATTTTTATGTTAGGGCAAGCCTCTGTGCATCATGAGATGCTTCTCTTTTGTATGACAATACTCAACATCTTGATGCCTAAATTTGCATCTGATTTTGCAGCAGATTATTCATCACTTGTGTATTTATTATTCACATAATATAACTTATTTCATCTGTTCACTGTCTACTTTTCTATGTCTTTGTATTTAAAGTGTGTTTCTTACAGAAATTACATTGTTAAGCTGTGCTTTTGAGCCACTCCAATGATACCTATTTTTAAATTGGAGTGTTTATATTGTTAATATTTTTGTAATTTTAACATGATTGCAGTTAGGGCTACAGGACTTCGTTTTATTAGCTTTCTTCTGTATACTTTGTTTGCTTTTTCTCTTTGAAAAAAATTTTTGGTGGCACAAGCGGATGAACCCTTGTGCACACTAGGCAAGTGCTCTCCGTTGAGCTTCATCCCCACTCCTTGTTATTTTTAATTTTGAGTCAAGTCCTTGAGAAATTGCCCAGACTGGCCTTGTACCCTCTTGCCTCAGCCTTCTGAGAAGCTGAGAATGCAGAGGTGAGCCATAGCATCAGGTTCCACTCAGAGCTTTTGCTTTCTTTTGTTTACTTGTGTTTTGAGATAGCATCTCACTATGCCACTGGCCTTGAATGTCCTAGTACCTAGGCTGGCCTACTCACTCATCTTTTGATCAAATATTCTTCATAATAGGATTTTAATCTATTCTGACATTTTAGTTACAGCTATATATATATATTGTGGCTGGTTTAGGGCAGAGTTTTTTAGCCTGATCACTGCTGACATTTTGGAAAGGGTATTTCTTTGTGTAGGAAGCTTTTCTGCACACTATAATATGTTTAGTAGCAATGTTGACCACTCTACAGCTACCAACCAGCAACTGGAGATCCCTGAACTTCTAACTTTTGCCTTTTCCACAGTGTCAATTCGTTCAAATCATGTCATACAGACTTTTCAAGCTGGCTTCTGTCACTCAGGAATATGTATTTGATGTTGTTTCACGTCTTCACGGCTTGCTAGATCATTTAAGAAAAGTGTACATTTAATTTCTCCTTTGACCTAATTAATATGGTCAGCACTGTCATTTATTTTCTAATATTGAAGCATTTTTCATGTTGAATATATGCTTTAATCTTGGGATTAATACCTCATTATTAATGTTACTGAATATCAATTGAATTTGTTAATAGATTTTTGTTTAATAGTCCTAAATTGGAATATAGATGGCTTTCTTGTACTTTTCTTGTAGATTTTGTATCAGTGTTAGCTAATTTGAAAAATCAAGTTTGCTTTTTCTCTTGATTAACTTTATAAGGTAAAGAAATGGTGCATCTGTTACTTAGAGGTTTATTATATGTCATCTGTGAAAATGGCTGAACTCAGTGCTTTTGA